AGCCAGTAGTACATGGAACCAGCCATCACCCTCCTTTTCACTGCTTCGCTGTTAGTTAATGCTACTTCTAGTTTCAGGGTCTCAGGAATATGTCCACTCACGTTCTCATCTCTCGCCTCTCACGGATTCCCATTTCTCCTCATCATCTTCCTTTTCTCCCAGTATATAGGACTACTGTATACATTTGTTTATTTTCAATCATTTAAGCTATTTAGAATTGGGGGGGACAATTTGTGTTTTTCAGATCCCCCCCGGGATCTGCACCCATGGCGGATTCTTCTCCCCAGCCTGCCATGCATCTATCATGTAAACTGTCAATATGCGGCATACCTGTAAGACCTAAAACCAGAATTTTAGAAACAAATATACCGTAAAGTTATGAAAGAATTATATTAGTTGTTTGCCTTAACCTGTAAACCTACTGAAGCCTGAAGGACACGTTACAGTTAATTTTTTTCCTGACTTTTTTTCATCACTTGTGTAGAGTACTGTGTGCACAGATAAACAGTTACAACTGAAACTACACAAACCTCAATCTCCTACTGTCTAGAATTACGAACAATCCACCTGAATTATGACAGTAAAATTAAAAACTCAAATGAACATTTTACACAAACGTCTGTTTTTCTTTGAGGACTTCAGATGCTGACTGAGGCAAATATAATACATTACCTATAGAGAAACACTATGTAGTTCTCCTGTATAAGATATTGTAGTCAAGTATGTGCAAAATACTAGTAATGCAAAACTGCAATTTGGCGTTACCTCATACATTTTGATCTTGGTGGTCAGAAAAGATTTTAATATTCAAGAATATAAATAATAATAATAATAATTACTGAATTTAATGCATACACACATTTAGCTATTCTGAAATCGATTACAAAATATGATAAAACACATTATACCAAATATATAAAATGAACGTAGAGAACTTTGCAGTGAACACGGGCTGATGTCTTGACCTGCGATTTGGTAGACCAGCACTCTCCCGGTCACTGATGCTGATAAGGACAGCCCATAGGACATCTTAATTGAGGCAAACTGCCTCTAAAGCCCCGTTTCCACCGAGCAGTCCGGTACGGTACGGTTCCGTTTGGTGTGCTTTTTTTTGGCCAGAAAATCAACTTGTAATGTTACTAAATGCACGAGCTGATGACGTGACTCAATCAACACACCTTAAATATACCATATTATGACAACTTTAACCATTACTTTAGGTTTTATATGACATACACTTTTGGTAATGAGTGGTTCTTCAAGCAGTTCACATAGCCTGGCTGAAATTAATACATATAAATATATGTATTAATTTCAGCCAGGCTATGTGAACTGCATATATTCTAATCCTCTCTCAGAGGAAAAAAATAGGGTTGTGTAGCATTGAGCTACGGCAACACTAAACCCCTGAGCTTGCCTAAGAAAGACTAAATGCACAATCCCACTATTTCTAAATATCCCAAAGAGAGAGACTCACTGAAGCCTGTTTTATTTTGTTCTGAAAATGTTGGTGTGCAGCTTTGTTCTGTGAACAATAAATGAGGTACAAACATCCATGTTTGTCACCTATGATGAGGAGACAGGTAGATAGATAGATAGATAGATAGATAGATAGATAGATAGATAGATGATTGATTGATTGATTGATTGATTGATTGATTCTTTTAATGACCACACAGCCAGGCTGGTGGAATTTGTTTCCAGTACAGCTTATTGGTACAGGTTCCAACATAAAGGACATTAAACACAAACATAGATATACATACAGACAAACACATATTCATAATACATAAGGGCCATGCTTAATCCTCAGTGTTCAGAATACAGTGAGTGCTGGACCGAGCAGTGAGTAACAATAACCCCGCCCACATTTAAGGGTATGGTTTGCAGTGGAAACGCCAGGGTCTAGGTACCATGTCTGAAGGGTTACTTTTGGTCAAAGGTACCATACCGGAAGTGTTTGGTGGAAACACAGCTTAAGTTCTCGCACGCTGTGATACATGGGATATCTGTAAAAAAAAAGAAAAAAAAAAGTCAACCCCATAAGCATTTTGTCTGTGCATTACTGTATGTTATCATAATGTACAGTGCCTACCATACAGTTGATAACTTTGAGAAGACTGAAAAGACTAAATCCTCTCACATCTAAAGACGAGTTTTTAGTTACAGACTGTAAGATTTTGCAACCACTGGGCATCTTGCAGATAACTATTTACAAAATCCCTGGCTTTAAATAGGACACAAGAGGACAAACATTGCTGCAGCCACTGAAGACTGCTACAATCTCCAGCTGAAACATAGGGTTACATTCCAGTAGCTAACATTAGTTTGCGAGTGCGGTAGCCCTGTTCGGGACCGTGTTTAGCTAGCTAGCTACAGTATTTAGCATATTCACCAGGGTTTGCTCGGACTGAGTTTACCACGGTGGTGGATGCTGATCTCTAAAATTATTAAAGCTGGAATAGGTTTAATCATACAACGATGATATGATCCATATGCTTACCTTGAACAGCTGCTGACAGACAACAAACACTCTCCCTCTCGGTTGGCATAGCCAGGCACCATTGATTTTGCCCCATTCTCGCCTTCTCACCTCTCTGGTCTTCTTCGTTTACTTGGTTTACTCCGCATTAACCTTGCGCTTGGGTTCAAATTGAAAAGGTTGAACAGATGACATGTTTTTGCCATCGTAGAGTCAAGAGAGTGGGGGGGGAACGGGGACGCCGGTGGCTTAGTGGTAGACCAGGCGCCCCACGTACAAGGCTGTTGCCGCAGCAGCCTGGGCTCGACTCCGGCCTGTGGCCCCCTACTGCATGTCACTCCCCCTCTCTCTCCCCCCTTCACGCTTGTCTGTCCTATACATTAAAGGCTAAAAAGCCCCAAACAAAATCTTTAAAAAAAAAAAAAAAAAAAAAAGTGAGTGGGGGGAACGGACTGTGCAACCATCTGATGTCACTACCCAGACTGCATTGCGACGTAAACAACAATGGCGGCCTACGGGTGAAAAGATTCTTTCAAATTTAATAAAAACTAAGACATCTACAGTGTTTTTTACATTGCATTCATATAGCTGATGCCAACGTTAATCTGATAAAGACTAAAAGTCTTCATAGTCTGGGTTCCTTTTAAAGTATCTGTAATTAAACCTCTTCTAAAGAAGCCCACCCTGGATCCAGAGGTGTCAGCCAACTACAGACCCATATCTGATCTTCCCATTCTCTCTTAGATCCATAAGAAAGTAGTCGCTAATTATCTGTGTGACTGACAATAGTTTGAGAATTTTCGGTCAGGGTTTAGAGTGCATCATAGCACAGAGAGAGCATTGGTAAAAATTACAAATGACCTTCTGATTGCTTCAGACAAAGGACTCATTTCTGTACTTGTTTTATTGGATCCCAGTGCCACATTTGACACAACTGACCATCAAATTCTGCTAGAGACTGGAACATTTAATTGGTCTTAAAGGTTCTGCACTAAGCTGGTTTTAATCCTTTTTATCTGATCAGTCTCAGTTTGTAAAGATAAATCCTCCATACACTCTAAAGTTAGTCACACAGTTCCAAAGCTTCTTTGCTCTGACCACTGCTATTCACATTATGTCCCTTAGCCAACATGATTAGAAATCACTCTTGATTTCCATTGTAATGCAGATGATGCACAATCAGACATCAACCAGTTAACTAAACTTCAAGCAACTTCAAGCATAACAAAACTGAAGTTATTGTTCTTGGCCCCAAACACCCCAGAAACTCTCTTTTTGAAGATATTGTTTCTCTGGGTGGCATTGCTCTGGCCTTTAGCACAAAGCTAAGGAACCTCAGAGTAATGTTTGATCAAGATTTGTCTTTTAACTATAAAACAAACTTAAAGGACTGAGGTCTGTAATATTGCAAAAGTCAGACATATCCTGTCTCAAAATGAGACAGAATAATTGGTCCACACATGTACTGATGGAAACTAAGAAAAGAGATCATATTTCTCCCATTTTAGCTTCTCTGCATTGGCTCCCTGTAAAATCCAAAACTGAATTTAAAATCCCTCTCCTCACTTTCAAAGCTCTAAGTGGTCCGACTCTATCATTTCTTAATGGGCTCATAGTACTGTATTGTCCCACCAGATCACTGTGCTCCAAGAAAGCAGGGTTACTTGCGGGTCCTGTGGTCTCCAAAAGTAGAACAGGAGCCAGAGCCTTCAGCTATCAGGCTCCTCTTCTGTGGAACCATCTTTCAGTTTTGGTCCAGGAGGCAGACACTGTCTCCACATTCAAGAGTAGACTTAGGACTTACCTTCTTGATAAAGCTTATAGTTAGGAATGGCTCAGGCTTGCCTTGGTCAAGCCCCTAGTTAGGTTGATATAGGCCTAGTCTGCCAGGGGACCTTCTGTAATATAATGAACTCCTCTCTCTTTTTCTCTCTCTCTCTCTCTCTCTCTCTCTCTCTCTCTCTCTCTCCCTCCCTCTCTCTCTCTCTCTCTCTCTCTCTCTTTCTCTCACTCTCATTAATAGGACATCCAGGGGTTCCTTATCAACTGTGAGAGTCCAAGGACAGAGGGATATCTTATGTCATAAATCCCTCTGACGCAAATTGTGATATGTGAATTGAATTAAAACTGAACCGAATGATACTGAATTGAACTGAAATTAGTGCTCTCCACTTGTGGTCGGATCAGCTAAGGCGTATGTTAATACCAGATGTAAACAGGCTCAGTATTAGTTTTTCCAATGCTAACATCTTGTAACATTCCCTCAATGCTTGAAAAAGAATGACATTTACTTTTTCTGACAAGACTTGCACATGTGGAAATTAAATTTGATATGTCACAAATGTAAAACGTGTGAATGGAAATCAGCCATGGGCTCTTATGGGTTTGAGGGGAATAGAAGTGTTGCTTTGCTTTTTTTACACGCAGTTAGTTAATTAGTGCTGCTGACTGAGTTTTGGAAAGCCAAAACAGGAAAAAAGATAGAAATGTAAACACTATGAAATAGACGGTACAGTACTTGGCAGCATGTTGGAGTTCAGTAACACTGTGTGCCATTTCCAAAGCATCCTTAAAGCTGGTTCTGTTAGCTACAGTCACAGTCCCATTCAGAATGATGAAGTCTGGGAGACATCTCTGGAAAACTGATAAACACACAAACACACACAGACACACACACACTCACATTCTATAATATTTTGTATCAATATCAAGATGAGAGTGGCCTAACATTTTATGTTAATACCCATTTGCAGTGTAAGAACCATGATATTAAACTGTCTATACCTCCTCTGAAAGTGCATTTACATCTTTGGTTGCAAACACAGCAAATGTTTAGCAACTCAATCTTTTGTCACATGAATAAAACCTGACTAATATGATAAAGCTGGTGGCCAGGTCATTTGAATAATTTTGGTCTGCAAAAACATCTGCTTTGTTGTTGTTAAGTGTTTAGTTGGTATAACCTACTTTCAAATTTCAAATTTAAACATTGACACAGGTAGTTGAACTTTTTTCAGTGGATTGTGAGTTTGAGAGGTATCTCATCCTTACATGGTCTACTAGGCACAATCATGGAGGGGCAGTCCTCATCTCGTAGAACCTGAGATACTGGCTGCAAGAAACAGAGGAGAGACAGAAGGGTTATAATAATAGTATGTATGAGTGTTCTGTGTATTTTGTTAAGATACTGGGCCTGCACAAACACAAAGACGACAAATATTAACTTCCAAAATGAGGTCATTTACATCAAGATGCAGAGGCCACAATACTGAACCCTCTCCAATCCTCAGCTACACTTTGAGATTCTGTCTGTTTAAGTTTTAAACAGGATAAACAATATTATATTACTGTACTCTATGCTGTATATTACTGGTTCTATCAGTTTATCAGTAATAAGTTTGTTTTTTTTGTAAGATGGTATGATGCTATAATACAGAGAGAAATATGTTTCAGTGTAATGTTAAAGAGGTTAAACGTGTGAGGTTACTTAATTCCTGTATATTTCAACCTCTGTGAAACTTTATATTGGTCCTGTGCAGCTACTGTACATATGTGATTAACAGGAAGTGAAGCCTTTATTGTAAAACATGCAGTAGGAGAATATAAATGAGTGCAGCGGAGCGACACAGTTGTTTTACAGACTCAAAGCATAAAGCAGTCTACTATCGTCATTAAGATGTGGTTATTTATAAAAGTGAATTAAGATGAAGAGAAAACATGCAGACTAAAAATAGCCACTACAATGAGTATTGGTACCTTGTCAGGGTTGTTAAATCCAGGCTTACAGAACTGTCTGTAGTATTCCCAGTAACTCTTGCTGAATTTGTTCTGCAGCTGCATCTCAGTATAGGTGGCAAACCTGTCAGGACACTGTGACACACACATCTGGGAGAAAATTGACACAGACAGAACATTTGGGATTTTATTTTTAATTGAAAACTGCAATCTTGTCTAAGTTAATGAGCACTCGACAATATGTGACACTTTTTGTTAGCATGTTGCGAGTATATATCTGTGTTGCTCTAAACTGACATGATAAATCAGTTACAGCAGATGTGACCATGAACAACTGATGCTGGGTTACTGTAGTAATTGTTATTAGAGTACCTGAGTTGTAGGGCACTGTAGGTTGATGAGTACAGATGGGTTGGCACATCTCAAGATGTTGAAATAGAATAGCATGGGTTTCTTCCTGCAAAAAAATGTTAATGTTAAATCACACACATACAGTGTATCATCAGTTTGTGAGATTCCATAAGTCATTTCATCTTGCTCTGCTCTACAGTATCTGCTTCTCATAAATAGGAGGCAAAAACCGCAGACCAGTTAGTGATTTACAGAATGCCTTTGAGCTGAGAGTAGAGATTGTTGGGTAGAAGCATACTGAAACACAGGTAGCTGAACACCTGGTTTGTAAAAATCTAGAACTCATTCTTAAGAATTAGGACAAAACCTTTGTTTTTGATGCTATTAAACACTGTAATGGGCCAGCCTCTTTTTTTCATATATAGTATACATGATGAATGTCAGAGGTAAGATCTGACAGAGTTGAAGTCTCACTGAGTTGACAAAAAGTAATATATTAATTTCACTGCAGTCATGGTGAGCAGCCATTTACATAGCAGCCACACTGCCTGTGTGAGCAGCGTCCAGATGCTCAGATGCAGCATGGCTGCTGTTCAGCTGTGAAATATCTAAAGAATAGAAGGCTTGCCTTTTTTTTTTTTTAGCAAAAATAGTCTGTGAAAATGGTCTTTTGATGGTCATATTGACATTAAAACACCTCCGCTACAGTTTCAATGTTTATTTCTGTGACAGATATGAAAGAAATAAATATTTATTTTTATCTGAACACCTCCTGTCTTTGTTAAAAAAAAAAAAACACCCCCTGACAGCATTCCCTTGTTTGTCAACACAAGGCTTTTTATTGTAACCACTTCATCCTCTTGGGGGTCACGGGGGGGCTGGATCCCAGCTGACATCAGGCGAGAGGCAGGGTACACCCTGGACAGGTCGCCAGACTATCGCAGGGCTGACACATAGAGACAGACAACCACTCACGCTCACATTCACACCTACGGACAATTTAGAATTATCAATTAACCTAGTCCCCAATCTGCATGTCTTTGGACTGTGGGAGGAAGCCGGAGTGCCCGGAGAGAACCCACGCTGACACGGGGAGAACATGCAAACTCCACACAGAAGGGCTCCCACACCCGGGATCAAACCGGGAACCCTCTTGCTGTGAGCTAACCACCACACCACCGTGCCGCCCTTTCAGGACCATGTTGTTGACAATGTTGTGGCTGTCAGTGTGAACACTACACATGTGCAAGCCACAGCAGTTCAGTGAGGTTGCTGTCATGCGCTGCTCACACAGACAGTGTGTTCTGGGTGTGTGTTATTTTAAAGGTTTTTAACACATTTTTTTAATCAGTTGACGTAATGAATTCTTGATTGATTTGTCCCAATTCTCAAGAATGGGCGCTGGGCTTGTTTTATGGTCTCTGTTACACTGTTTACTTAAATTCTTCACCCTGAAATATTCACCTGTGAAAAAGATTTCGTTTTAAATTTTACAGAGTAAAGGACTACTGTAAAGAACTAAATGTTTGAGATTATTATGAGGAACTTGCATATTCAGAAGTAACTTTATTGAGACCTTAACACTCTTTCCAATGCTACATTATTTCAGTTTTACCTCTTTCACACCAATGACCGTGATTATTTGACCTGTGTTCAACCCTTCTTTTGTCAACAGACAACAAAGCCCATTCAACACGGGTTAATCCCTGGTCATGACAATTCCAATGCAACCTAAGTTACAACCAGAGAGTACCCATTTCCTAAAATGTTTTGAAATAGGCAGGTGGTATACACATCAGATTCAGTGGACAACAAGAGTTGTATTTTTATGTATTTTCTTGTATTGTCCTGTATTTCCCCCAATCCTTTGTCCAACAACATTATTTTTTTAAAGTTAAATGTGATGATTTTCCTTTTCCCTGAACCCACCATTACATAAAGTGAAACACTTTGTTCATATTTTTATGGAAGCTGTGCACCACCAGAACTAGTATTACCTGGATTCTCATTGAACACTATACTAGCACATCACAGTGATGAACACAATTAACTTGATTGGTTTGGCCTGTAATATTATGACTTCTTCATTTAAAACATAATATTTCAACATCAAAATCAAAGCACAACCATTAGCAGAAGATCGGTTCTGAGGGTTTATGCTTGCACTAGCCATGTATACCACAAACACAAGAAGAATTACAGACCAAGGGGATGATAGTGGGCAAAAATGTAAAATACCACAGAATGATGCATCTTTTCTGGCAAATATTTTGTGAACATAGCACATACAGCAATTTTGTCTGTGATGTTTGCAAAAATGTTTTTTTCACTGAGGATGAAATGCATTTCAGCATCTATCCATAACCCACACTTTGGTTACTGCTTTAAAAAGCTGAAAAAATGTTTTTTAATAATGTAAACCTATCTATAACCCACACTTTGGTTACTGCTTTAAAAAGCTGAAAAAATGTTTTTAATAATGTAAACCTAAAAGGTGTCAGCCATTTTTAATTTACTTTTAATTTTTAGGGTTTTTTTTAACCATTTCCAAGCATTTTAATTTTCAAATTCCCCCTTTTTCCAGAATGACATCAATTTTGGGAAGTACAATCTAAAGACCTTGGCCAAGCTAAATTGCGGTGCCATAGCAAATTTTGATGTTTCAACATAACACAAGAATCTGTTGTATCTTGACTTTACAAAGTCATGTCTGCCCCAAATTTCACATGCCGGATAAATGTTGAGGCCTGAAGACCCATACTGAGTCACAGTCCTGGTGCCATTTACTGACAACAGGAAGTCAGCCTTATGTGACAAAAATAATCCGGTTTACATGAAATTGACATGGTTTGGTCTAAAAATGATACACAGCAACATAACATAATTTGTGTGTATCCTCTACCACAAACTCGACACAGAAAATGGTACACAATTTGCAATACATCATTTCCAATGCCACACACTCCACTTAGACAGATGCAGAGATGCATGGCCGTGTTGACTGGCATCTTGCCAGCACCTCCAATGTATGGGAAAGTGCGTGGTCCCATTCATAGCAGCGTGCAGCATTACCTGGTCATGTATTGTGTTAGTATTAGTTAATTTAAAGCCCCATTCCAATGTACTTTGGCATTTTTATGATACTTCATATTTTCTGAGTAATTTCCTGACAATTTTGATGAGCCACACTGTTTGACAAATAACCTAATTTTGTGCTCAAGATTAAACTAGAATTACCACTATACTGTTGTATGCCTCTGTGCACCTGTCAAACTGAACTTATAGTTTACATCCATGTCTGCGAAAACATGCACACATCTTCCCCCTGGCACCACAGAAGATCTATAGCATCAGCACAGTTTCAAGGTGGATACCCAAGATTAATGTCACCAATTCAGTATCTCACCAAGTGTCTCTTCTTCCATTCCTGAGATATGATGTTGAATAATGGCCAGACAAGTGTTTTATGCAGAACTTTATGATGTCACAGTAAGTTTGACCTTTGACCTTTTGGATATAAAACGTCATCACATAATTCATTTTATGATCTTATCCTTAGAACACTTACAAAAAATTTGAACATCCACAACTCCTGCCTAACTCCAAAGACCCATCCCCCTCCTCCTGCAACTCCACCTCTCTCCAAAGGCCTAGTCCCCCCTCCTCCATTATGTCCTCATTACGTCTATGATAGATGTAGGCGCTGGTAAGTTAAAGGGAAATTTCAGGTTATTACAACCTGTCTCCTATCGTCCTAAATTTGTTTCAAGTGACTAGTGACATAAAAATAATAGTTTGCATGTTAGCCGTTAGCCTTGATACAGCCGGGGCGCATAGTAGCATCAGACCTGTTGAAACGTAAGTGAAAGGGCATAATTCAAGTGCAAAGTTAGTCCACTAAACAAGCTTTTTTTTCCACAAAGACCACCTCATATCATTAGGATAAATGTCAGAGAACATATAGAAAATGACATGTAAACGTGTTGTCTGAATTTATCGCTTCTACTAGCTCCCCTAGTCACTGAGCCTCGCTTCCATCTCAACAAATATATTTCATTTATTACAGATACCATCATCATCTGAAGTAGGCAGGGGAATAGCTAAACACAGCAGAGACCGAGACATCGCTAACTGCTAGATGAGGGGTGGAGAGCAGAGGTAGGGGGGGGGTGGGGGGTGGAGAGCAGAGGTAGAGGGAGGTGTGGCTCATGACACACTTTGTTTTGGTCTATAGGCAGTGCACAACAGCAAAACTAGTGGTGAAACGATTTCACTTTTTGCCCCTTTAACCCTTTGTGGTCAAGGGTATATTTGACCGTTTTGTTTGTTTGTTTGTTTGTTTTTATTAAGTTTTCAATAACATAGACAATCTATTGCAATACAACATGATAAAATTAACAAAACAAACAAGCAAAACATATCTTGGCACTTAAAAACAAAAACAGACACAATTATGGGAAAAAAAGGGGTTCAAAACACATTGACAAATGAGATAGTTTATTTTATTTAATAAGGGACAGTGCACATTAATTAACATGATCACTTAAGTCACGTAAATGTGCCAGATTTAGCCATACAGGATAATTTTCATCTGCAGTCCCTGGCAGGTTGATCGTATATACATATATATATGAACAGGCATTAAAATAACGTACAGAAGTACAAAAGCACATAAGCACGGATAAAAAACGAATTGATGGCATGTCCATAGAAAGGCAGATAAACATAGAAGGCACATAAGCTCAGAGCAAGTACATAACCACAGATAAAAGCACATAACAAAGCACATAGCAGAAACAGCAAGATTTAAAGCATATTAATAAAGTAACCCAACCATATTATATTTTCAGTCTGTCACATTTCACTTTTTATAAACCTTAAGAAATCAGACCAGACTTCATAAAATGTCTGTCATCAGTTTTAACCATTCATCAAAAATAGGTTTTACTTGACTCTTCCAATGGCGTAGAACAATCCTTGAAGCACTGATAAATCCTGCCAGTGCAAGTCCAAATTTTTGTTTGGATATACCTGCTGGTAGAAGAGACCTATCTCCTAATAAACACAGCCGGGGAGATTCTGGCAGTGGTTTATGCAATCATTCTC